GTATTTCACACTTTTCTCCCCTCTTATACTGTACCTATGGGTTAAAAGACTATGTGGCAAGCTTCTCTAAATTCTCATGCACTTAGGTTCAAAACTCATAATTAACACTTAAATATAAGCTGCTTATCATCTCATTGTTTCATATTAAAGGTCATCTCTCTAATCAAAAGTCATACTACTTTTGGAACTAGTGACTAACATGTGTTCCCAATAGTGTCTAATACAACCGTAAGTGGAGGAAGTGGTTTAATGATATATTCACTGGCTAACTTATCAGCGAAACCTCCAACAGTTTCTGTGGTTTCAAAAAAGGACCAGAAAAATGATCTTTCCCTAAGTACAGTACTCCACAGAGATCAAAGAATTCCAAATACCCCAACACCCACCTAAAGTTCTCTGGGATCAGTCTCAGTTTCCAGAACACTTTACTACATTTCTCTCTCCTCTTCAGGAAAAGGTGAAGACAGAGGTAGTGGTAGAGGTAGCTATATCTACTTGCACCTGCTCTCTATCATTTCTACTTAAAGCTACCTGCTGTGTGAACCTGAGTGTGCTTACAGTTTATCCAACCCAATTTATGTGCAGTCTACCAAGTTTCACTCTGGAAAATAAACGGTGGGTGGCTATTAACTGCCAGGTAATTAGAAAGTCTCATTCATGTGGAGTAGAATTATACAACTCTTTTATATTTTTGTTAGAATAAAGATATGCTTATCTCAGTTTATTATTTCATTTGACCTACAAAATAACAGGATATGAATCTGCACAGGTTATTACCTTAAAATGAGTACTTTTTAAACAAACTGTCACTATGCAATTCACTATGTATGTAGCTTAGGTTGGTCTGAAACTCCCTTCTACTCTCCTCCTTCAGTTTCTCAAGGGCTGGGAATAAGCTTGTGCCACCACACCCGGCAAAATGAATGAATTTTTAACAAGTAAAATGCAATAAATACTTCTTGAAGCTAAATTCCCTCTTAATTTCATGGTTGAGATAAAAAGTCTCTAAAAAAACCACTTTTTTCCTTTTTAAACAACTTCTAATTTGTTTTAAAGTTAATATAACTGTAATTTATACATCAGAAAATCTCCAACAAAATAGACAATAACACTGTTCCTTTATTCCACAGACTTTTCCGGAAGCATGACACAACTATTAGCATAACTGCAAATAAACTTTTTTAAGGTCACACAAAAAATATCATTTTGGATTAAAAACACCGATACATACTTAAATATTTAATATTAATGTATTTTGTTTTACTGGTATAAATCTAAGAGTCACTTTAAACTTTTCTCAATGTATACATTGTATCTAAGTAAATGCCAATGTATCATAAAGTATTCTGAACTATTTCTTATGGTAGATTAATATTTCAGTTTTTATGTAAAATTAAGGCAATGAGAGGCTAAGGTTAACAGAAAATTACCAAACACATGGCAACCAAACAATAATAAAGATGCCAAAGTAGAAAAATGTCAGAAAATAGTTAAGAAATGTGCAATGAAAAAAGAAATGTTCAATAAATATCAAATGAAACTTCTAAAAAAGAAAACAGTATACGTGAAAATATCCATCAACCGAAATGATTTAATCATCTTATGGCAGTTTCTGGACACCGTGCTACACATGCTATAGCAAATATTAAGGTCTTTTGAGCCATAATGTACAAACCAAACTCATAGTTTGGTTAAGAAACTACAAAATTTACGCTTAAAGCATTTGAATATAGAATATACACAGTAGTATATTCCTGACAATCAAATGACTAATTCTAAATGACTTGCTCTATGCTTTGAGGATGAAGACCCTGTTAGGGAAAATATATTTTGCAGATATCCACAATAACCTACTTTTAGATCCACTGATTGAGAAAATATAGTATGAAAAAGTTACTATGAACATAGGATCACCACACCAAAAACACACTATTTAAACAAAACACAAGTTTATTCATTTCATATAATCAGAAGCAGTTCAGAGCTGGTATGACAGCTCCCCAAACATCAGAAGCCTTGGCCCCTTTGATCTTGTGACTGCCATCCTCAAGATGTTGCTTCTGTCTCCTGAACCAACATGCCTGCTTCATTCAGCTCCTTGTTGCAGCCAGCAAAAAAAAAAAAAAAAAAAAAAAAAAGGGCTTGCTCTCCCCTCTCTATGTGGATGTTGAGTATTAAAAGTCAGAATAACTTCACTTTCAACTGTGGTTCACCTAGTTACTAGCTGTGTGGCCTATGGAGTAGTTATTTGATCTCTCTATCAGCTTTCTGGAAGTAGGACACACACTAACACTTACATCTTATTGACCAGAATTGATCCACAGCCACATCTGGCCAGAGGGGACACTTGCAAATATAATCTATATGCTGGATGGTAAAATCTCTAGTATCTATTAAAGGAGGAGAAGATGAAGTTCAGGGAGATTCAGGTCTCTGTCACATTTCTTATAAGAATATATAGTTCATTAATCAGAAAAATACTGTTGCACTTTTGAAAACAAAAGCAGATACATGTTCAAGACGGGTTGGTTAATCTGCAAATACTTGGTTGAGTATGTGAATTCGAGGATCTGCTCACAAACTGGTCTCAGCGGAAAGCAAAGCTGTCCTGAGCTCCAAGACAGTCTGGATGATGTTAGCTTGGAAAGGTTTCACGGAGGAGATGAGCTGGGCCTGAAAGAATGTGCAAGATTGTGAAATGGATGGGGAAGGACAACTAAGACAAAACTCGACAGCAAGGGCAGAAGCCAAGCAGTGTAGTTTGGCTGGAGCAGAAGGCATGTGGAAGTACTTTACAAACCTCAAACAGGATGAATGTTGTCTCTATCACAAAGAACTGGAAGGTAAGGTTAAAGAAGACTGAAAAATCACACTAAAGCAAGGTGTGTGACATTTATTTGATGTGTGGCCTCAGACCCAGGGACTGAGCTCTGTAACTTCCACTTGTGAAAGGTTGGTAACAACAACCATCTAGTAAGAGTTGTTTTGAGGTTGGATATTAACATGTAGCCAGCATTCAATAAATGTTAGCTATTAATAAAAGTTCTGCAAAGTCAAATAATACAGTAATATTTCAGAGTTCACCAGCAATCTGATATCCAGGATAGCAGTGATGAGAGAGAAATAAAAACAAAGGTAGACAGCGCAAAGCAACAGCATGAAATCTAGCACAGGTGACACACAGCAGTTTGCATTTTATACTTCAGACAAAGAAAAACCAGAGTTGGCAGAGGAAATATTAAAGTCAGGGCTAGAAGGACTACTGCCAAAGTCCAGGCCTCCAAATGAAGGCCTGAAAGAGGACAGTAGCTGTGAGGATGGTGGAAATGATTTGGCTATGAAAGGCACTTGGCAAGTGTTTTCAGGCAGAAGATGAAAGAAGAAGAAAGGTTCTCATTTGGGAGACTGAATGGTCAGTGGCACCATTAACCAAGATAAGAAAAAGTGGAGGAAGAACAGAATTAGAGGTGGAGTAGTGGAGAAGAAAGTTCTCTTGAAGGGACATAGAGATGATAAAGGTGTCCAAGAGAAGCACCCAACAGGTACACATTCACAGGTGACTTCAAAAGTGTGGTCTGGGCTGGAGGTGTGTAGACGTAGGTCAATATTTTCATGGGATAAAGATAAAGATAAAGAGGTAAGATAAGATAAAGAGAAGCTGAGAGGGAGAAAAAGAATGAAAGATGAAGACAGGAGTTGTGCTGTGCATGCCTGTAATTCCAACACTTTGGGAGGCTGAGGCAGGAGGATTGCTGGTTTGAGCTCAGTATGGACAACTCTGTGACTTTAGGGAGAAGCTTTCTCAAAAAGAAAAGGACCTAATGATCTATACAGGTTCTCTCCTAGTCCCTGAACTTTTGAGACTTACCCTTAGCACCTAGAACAACCCTTCCCTCGGCTCCCCAGACCCCCATTGGGAATTGAACCCAAAGCTTTTTGCACTAAACTGCATCCCCAGACCTTTTATATTTTGAGCCAGGGTTTTCCTAAGTCACTAAGTTGTCCAAGCTGGGCTTGAATGTGTGATCTGTCTGCCTCAACTCGTCAGCATTCTGGAATTACAGGCATGTACCACTACAGCTGACTAGGCCTACACTTTGAATGTACCATCACTCATACATGTTGAATAAAAAGCCCAAAGCAAATAAGATAATCAGTCAACAAGAGAAATGAGGGTGGGAGGACATAAGTAAGTAACAGGAGTGTTCAGGACTCTACGAAGCAAGCTCAGAAGTCTCTGCCCATAATCCTGAGCAAGTTTCTTAAACACACAATATTATCCTAAATACAGCACTCACCCAAATGATAATGTATCTTTTGGGTTATTAGTACATGTTTACAGTAGATAATGATTACATTCATTGTAGGGAGTCAGTACATGTATATAACACATCTTAATTCTTTTACATCCCTATCTCTTCCCCAAACATATTTAGCAAACTAATTACTATTTAACTTCTCCAGAAGTCTGAACTGAGAACAAAATATAAACAATTTTTAAAATATAAACAATTTTAAAAGAATTAGAAATCAACTCACAAACAATGCGGTCTACTAATGTTTACTTAGACTAGGAACCGCAGAGCCACATCACAACAAAGCCATGGAGATAAAAACCTGCCTCTCTTGGAGACGCTAAAAAGCTCAGAGAAACTAACGGAGGTCACTTGTGGGAAAGAACTTTAATAATGATTAGCGTGCACAAAGCAAGTGAAGTGGCCCGTTCTTTAAAACGTACCTGTTAACGTGAGAAAGCTCTTAGACAAAGTTGTCACCTTGTTACTAAACCCAAGCTTCTACTATACTATTCAGTTAATTAAAAAAAAAAAAAAATATATATATATATATATATATGACCAAAAAAAGGAAAAATAGACAACTTTCTTCTATCACACGGTATTTGCTATAAGAAAAACAAAGAGAAAGAAAGAAAAAAAGGAAAGAAAAGAAAGAAAAAAAAAAAAGAAAAGAAAAGAAAGGTTCCTGAAAATTGTACTTACAAATCCTGCTTCTGTAATATCTGGTGGCTCTGAAAAAAGAAAAACATAGCATGACCTCACTCAAATGTGATTTCCTCCTCGCGGACTCGCGAGGCGCGCGGCCGTCGCGCACGTGGCCGGGGCTCAGGCGGGAACTGGGGGGACCGTGCGCGAGGCCTCGGGCCTGGGGTGGGCGACGCCGGCCAGAGCCGG